GACGCTTCGCTGCAGCACCGCCATGAATGCCGCGGTGGCGGAAATGCTTTTCGTCCATCCAAGCCCTTCACAGGGCAGGATGCTACAAATGACGAAAATTTGCAAAAGGGGGAACCACCAACAATCAGAGCCCTACGGCTGATAGCCACTTGAAGTGGCAACGAGCAGCCTCAAAAGCAACAAGAAGGAAAGCACAACACTCACAATGCTGTGCCCCTTGTTTTCATCTTGAGCCAACAGTAAAGCGAAGCAAATGAGGCATGCTCCACCTTATGAGAGGGGTGCTGTACACTGCAGTTCTTTCAAGTTCTATCCGCACCATTCCGTCGATGCGAGGAAGATTACCCAGCGATCCAGCTATGTGCCTGATGAAAGAGATATCCACCAGTGACCTTGTGACAAGTGGAGGATGAATCCCGAATATTACAAACCTTCGATGTATACATTTGGGGCAAAGTTGCTTGAACAGTTTGTATGACAGTTAGGGGCTTTGGATTAAACTTCCAAACCTGTTCAGTACAGGATCTTGCTCAAACAAATGGACAGCAAAAGCCAGCCAAGGATCCTCTTCTCTGAAAAAAGAACAGCTGAAATGGCCAGCGTCCCAACACAAATAGGTTCATACTCATCTAGCTTCCAAAGAAAAACACATTAGCACCCTTAGAGACCTCTTGCGGACAACATAAACCTGCTGTTTGGATGAAACCACTTTTGACCATCGTTGTGCGACCTCTGCTTGACAACAGTTGCAGCTACGTGCCTCTTCCGCAGCTGCACGTGACTCCTGAAGCAAGTAAAGAGTGCTGAAACTGGTGGAAAGAAAACAAAACTGCAAAGCCTGCTGCGCAAAAAACAGGTCAAGCACCAACCCACTCAAGCATGAAATGCATGAATCAGGTTGAATATTCACTCTGGACCAGAACATGATATACAACTTTTGTGCGGAAACACCATAACATGATTCTCTGCAATGCACGGCCTTCGGAGGCAATGCAGATTCTTTTGCTACCACCTGAGAAGTTTAGCGACGCGACCAAGTTTCTGATAACTGGAATCATATGGGAGTCCCGTCTGCTTCTGCAAGAGGAACTGAAAAAAGTGCTGAATCTATTCTGATTGTTTTTCGTCATGTCGAAGGCCAAAAGAACACTCCGAGAAAAACCTCATGTTTCCCTAGATCGAGAGTGTCTAGAGTTGTATGAATGCCTGTAAAACCTAGGACTCCACATTCTGACTGCTTTCAAACCCCAACAAGCCATCAAGTCTGGATGAACTCTGATCATCTTTCTGCACCATTCCGTAGTTTCGAGGAAGAAAACCCAGCAATCCAGCTATGTGCCTGTTGAAAGAGATATCCACCAGTGACCTTGTGACAAGCGAAGGATGAACCCCGAATATTACAAACCTTCGATGTATACATTTGGGGCAAAGATGAGCAAAGAGTATTTGAAGAAGTCCTGCGATCGAAACTTTCAAACTTCAGATCTTGCTCAAACAAGTGGACCATGAGAATCGACTTTTTACATGCAGATGCAAATATCCAGTTCTCCAAATCAAACCGACAATTCGCTTTCTAGGAATGGCCTGTCTCCCCAATGGATCTAAGATTCTAGCTGCTACATCCTAAAGCAATCACGGTGGTACTGTGCATCCCATTTTTGTTTCTGAGGGTCCTCACCTCCGCTTTACAATTGTTGCAGCTCGCCTCTTCCGCAGCTGCATACTTCTGAACGAAAACAAGCGCAAAGTGTAAACAACAGATGCATATCCTGTTAGGCAAATGCGCGGGACAAGCGCTAACCACTCGCACATGGCACGCCCCGATCAAGATGAATGATTTGCCAAGTCAAAGACGTGCAACTGTATCTGGAGGACTCACTCTCGAGCATTGAATACCCCTGGTGGACTTTCTTCGCACCACCAAAAAATCATCCGAACCTTCATATAACCTCCACAGGGATAGTCCCTGGAAGAAACCTCCTTCAAATTTTGTCCAACCAATGAATGGGCCTTCGAAGGCAATGCGTCGGATTTTGTTGCTACGGCCTGGGGTGAGAAGTTCTTCCAAGCCAAGTCTCTGCTTCCGTGAAGGGAATACAAGTTCGGGAATCGGTCGCAGCCTACCAACTATAAGAGGGGAACAACAAACATCTTTCGGAAGACATGATGCGCGTCATTTCCAAAGGGATTTGAACGGGGTCAACCTCGTACCACTAAGATGAGGGCCCAATCGTGCTAAACGAGTCAGGATTAATGCATCAAGGTGCCACTTCCGCTTCTGAAAATGCCTCCTGTAGCAAGTAGGCCATGTTTGAGAATGGCCAAACACAGTGTCAGTGGTACTTCAAAAAACAAAGTGCGCAAACAAGACATAGTTTGGGGAAGTGCTTGCAATGCATTCATAAATACATGTTGCCAGCAACTTAACGCAATCGTGTCCTGCAAACTGTTCACCCCATCACCAAACGCCACAACCTAGAGTTTGGGAACGTCCTGGTGAGCCAGGATTGGGACGGCACTGGGGCTATCGCCCACTTCCTGAAGGCTTTGTGAGGTGAGCAATGAGAACTGTCACGTCATGACCGTGCTTCTTGTTTCCGCGTTACAAGCGTTGGAATCTCCTCATCCCTCATTTGACCGACTATTGAGCTTTCCACCGATCAATTGTCATATAGGCTCTACCGCTCTATTGTGAGGATGGCTCACTTGAACTGAAAAGCATTTTGCCCAGTGACATCCAACGTGTCAAATTCAATCCTCCACGCGACTGAATTTTGTTTTGAACAAATCTATATAGAAGGCGTGCTCTGAGCGTGGGGATCCGATTTCAATAAGGCATTTAGCGGACATGTCTTCATGTTTTTTTTGTATTCTGAAGCACTGAGCTGCACTAGTAGAGAGTGACCAAGCAAGGAAAACGGAATCTTGCTGGTGAAATTCTACCAGGTTGATCATTGTCTGAAGCATGTTACACAACTGATGACATAGCAATGCACATGCAGCAGGCGCCTTTTCTGCAACCTTCTCCTGGAGCAAGTAGAGAGCTCTTCTTCCACAAACAACAAACAATCACATCTACCAACTGCACATGTTGAAAGTCACGTGAATATGATGCGCAATTCCTGGCTTCGAGTTTTATCTTAACAAACGCTGGTCTTTACAAGGGTCACAAAGCAACTAAATCTAAATTAAGAAGTTCTGTGTGTGCCTTTCTCAATTCACATTCATAACTCATAACAATGTCAAACAATAAACATCAATAAACCAGTGAATTGTATTTGTGTACTACCAAACAAGTGAATGCACTCTGTACCCAAGTCGTTTTCAAAGGTCTGCGCCCAAACGGTTCTCCTCCTTGGCCGTGGGCTGCTCACACTTCTGCGATGTGGAACCACAGCAACCCATTGGCCTCACAGAGTGGTGGAACATGTGGGGTCATTGAGGTTTTACCTTTCTATGGATTTGGAAGAAATGGAAGTGGGTTACCTGTCACTGAATTTGGACAATAGGCAACTGATATCACTGTTGCTTGAAAACCAAATTGGGAAAATGAAACCTAGCAGCGGGTTGTGCAACTAACATGTTGTCTAGATTCTACGGCTTCAAAATGCATAATCTTGTAGTGTTTGTTCACCCATGTTTCAACGTGAATTGCTGACTTGCTCACATGACATGCAAATAGTTCACATCCAGTTGGATTCCTCCTTTTTCTTTCAACCTGGGCTTCCAACTGACCGCTTGGTGGAAGCGAGTTGACCGCGGCTGGAACATTTTTGCTAAGATTTTTATCTCTGTGAGACATATATTTCCAGTTGGTTGATGGATAGATTAGTTGATCTTTGCCGTGCCCAAAGGCTGTAGACTTGGAATATTTGTCGTTGGCAAGAATGTGCCATGGAACCGAGATCGAATCTTTCTTGGGAATTATGGGCCAAGAAAGGACTGAAACAGTCAATGTTCCAATACGAACATGTCGGCGTGCACCAATTTGCAAATCTGATTCGTACAGTCGCTTAAACGAGCAAACGTGAGATCGGTTGCGTTTGAACATGATTGAAGAACATCACCAACAACCAATGGCAGGAAAAAACATCGAAGAAACCTAGGTATGAAAAGGCCAAGTCTCTCCCAACCGCAGCTCTTTTTGCAAGCAACTGCTCACTCTGAATCAGACCGCTGGGCATCAGCCGACCTCGGGAAATCCAATTGCTAAAGCTGCTCCCTTGAAAAACATTTTCGAAAATGGAAACCTCTTGAAAAACCGGTGGCTCGCAACTTGGTGGATGTAAATTGTTCCCTGTGATATAAAACAAACCTAACGAGGTCCCTCTAAATATCTTAAAAACAACTGCGTGGAGAAACCGTCCTGTGTTCAACACAAGAAACCATCAACGTGATCTTCCGCAAGATGTTTTCCATGAACAACTCTTGCCTGCAGGATGGGTTTTGCCCCTTTGAAAGGTTGTGCTTAAGGCAAGAGCAACGACATTTTCTCACCCCATCTTATGAAGTATGAAGTCTTGGGCCACTGTCGGGCAAGTCAAGTTTAAAGCAAGACATCTCTCATGTACATTGACAGACTTTATCACCAATGTTTAGGACCTAAGGTTCTGCCGATGTTTCTTAGCCATCGATCTGAGGAAAGGCAAGAAGGGCAAGGGTGGCGGCGCCCACGCCCACGAAGCAGCTCCTGGAGAAGCGCGCTGCTAGATTTTTTCATCCAAGGCTGCAGCACTGCCGACAAGGAAGTCTCACATTGTCGATGGTTAGAGGAAGCTGTGATCAAACGATGGAAGCTTTGTAGGGCTGACGTGATAACGGCTATTCACCAAGCCGACGGCATCAAAGGAGAAACGTTAGTGTTGACAATCCAGCTGTCTGCAGAGATCCGCAGGTTGCTTGACAGAAAAAAAAGATTGGCGTTCTTCCTGGCAAATCACGCGCGCTTCAAGCCAGCTCTTGGAGCTCAGCATTGGAACGCAACTGCGCGCGACGTTCTCACCAAAGGCCAGGGAAACAAAGACATGGAGCTTTTTCCAAGCAGGAGAAATTAAGCTTCACGGTCGATAGACAAAAAGGAGACTGGTATTATATGGTTGCTTCCGGGTCAAGAAAGCAAAACGATGCAGACAAGAGAAATCTCTACGGCAGCCGTCAGCGCTTCTGTGCTCGCCGAAGCTGCCTTGCGAAGCAAGAGGTTTGGAGACAAGCAGCGGCTGACCTCTGTCGCCCTGCTCGTGGTTGAAGAACTGCCACGCGCCACAGGAATTGATCAAGAAAAGAATATCGTGGTCTTTTTCCTGGTCATATTGGCCTTTGCGCTGATTTGCTTGGACTAAGCGCGTCATGATTTTGGCCTTGACACCGTTGAGCAGGTGACAACTTTGTTCAAGAGGAATGTGATAGAACATGGAAAACCCCCCTGACCTCCAAGAGATTGCGCCGAACGACCCGGTCACTGTGAGTGACGTTGGCCAGTCGAGCCATGGCGCATCACCGGCGACGGGTTCCATGGATAACAAGCAGGTGAACCTCAAGGCTCTCACCTTAGCGTGGACTTGTGGATTAGACACTGGTAGCCAACCTGCAATTCCGATATGGCAGCTTGAAAACTTTGGTGCAAAATGCCGCCTGCATTGCTGCATCCCCCTGCCAAGCACCATACAGATTGCTCGCCGAACTTGATCGCGACAGCACCTTGCACCCAAACTCGAATCATCCTACCTCCGAGGGGTACAGGAACCCAGAGATGCCTGAAGTTCAGCAAACTTCTCAAGGCTCAAGTTCGGACGAACAAGTTTGCCCATGGGACCACCTTTGGAGTGACAATCCGGCTTTCGGCCGACGTGATTCGAAAGGTTGTGGCGAAGAACAACCAACCAGGTTCTTCAGTTGGCAAGAAGCTACTAGTAACAAGTGCGTCGCTACTAGGAACAAGTGCCTTACTAGTAGTAACAATAAGACTTTAATTAGAATTGCAACCAACCAAATTCGAGAAAGATGTGAACGAGGTGAACTGAAGAGTCGAATGTGTCAGCCGGCTAATTTCTCTGACCCTCGACTGCGACTTCTGCCGACCAGCTCACATGGAGCTTGGGAAGTTTTAAGCTCTTTGGCCGACCGAGCCTGATTTGTTGGAAGGGTGACATGCCTTTGCATTTTCTTGCGCTGAGGACTTGCCATAGATCAGGTTACAAATTTAATTTCAATTGATGTTTTTTTCAGACGAAGTCGGTTCTCCTTTGCCATGCGCAATCCATTTCTCAAATATTCCCGCCGACAGCCTTTGAGCCATCCGGCGACGACATTTGCCAGGAGGAGAGCGCTTCGCTCGCACAAAGCATTTCTTGAGGTTGCTTCGATCTTCGTGCCTCAAAGTATTTGAGAACCACATTCCACACGGTTTCTTGTGAAAAATAGAGTTCCTGTGACCCCTATTTTTGCAAAAAAACACAAGACATTTTCGTCACAAGTTGACATCCAAGTAGCGATTCTAAGCGAAAGAGTTTCTTTGGGCTTTTGCCGAACTTTGAAACGCAAATGTTCCATGAAGCGCCTGCTGCTCGTTAGCCAAGCAACAACTGATAGAAATTGCTGCATGTTGCCTACAACAAGCACCGATTTCACTAAGTTTTGTTGTTGGTCCCCAAGATCGTCCAGCTCTTGAAACTCTTTGAGCAGCTTTTGCCTTCTCTCTCGGCATTCAGCTAAGCACGCTCTTGTCACCAAGCCGCACTTTGGCGCAGCAAAGCCTTCACAACGAAGAAGCCACCCGTCTTGCTTTCTCAATGGGCTGGAACGATGGCCTGAGTGTGGCGTCTGAGGCGAGCAGGCAAGCGCACACATGGCCTGCGTGATTCTTTCGAATCCTTTCGTCACAACGAGCATAAATTACACTCCCCAACTATGCCACTAGGAGCAAGGACGCTACTAGGGGCTCCTGGCCTTACTACTAGGAGCAAGGACGCTACTAAAGCCTTCCGTCCAAATTTCCAATAACCTGCGTACAAAGGACGCCCAAGACAAAGCGTTAAGCAATTCGTATCACATTTTCTGCGCGCTTCTCGCGTCCCGAAAAAAAAAACAAAAAACATGTTCGAGAGGCAATGCTGTGCTCGATGCTGCAGTGGTACGTGACAAGGATGATCGTGCCATGACCTCCGCATGCCTGGGGCCACACTGACACGCCGGCGCTGCCAATGCCTCCTGAACCCATAGCAGCGCTCATCGCGCCAACATGTCCTCACAGAAATCACAAAGCAAAGCCTTCCTTTGAGCATGAAATGGCAACACTGGTAGTGCTTTGATTTCGATTCGCGCTTGCCGCCTGAAAAGAGTTTCGCTTGACCGCCGCATGGAAAGTCTCCATGATGCCAGCCTTGAGCATGACAGACCTTGGCCTCCATCTTGGACTTGAGCGACTTGCCATACCCGCTTTGGTGTCGATAATGGATGTGAAAGCGGCTCTGAGTCCGAAAGCCCTTGGGGTTCGTGATGATCACACAGCTGGAGCTGCCACAATGGGACCAAGCAGCATCCATGAGACTGTTGTAGTAACCGACGTTGCCACCGTTGATGCTTTCCATGCCAACGGCATCACTACGGCCGGCCACCACCATGTAAGGACTTGGCCGGCCCATGATGCAATAGGAACGGTGGGTGCAACGAGCTGCAAGGTAGCCGTCAGGGACAGATGGATGATGCAAGTCATCAAGGTCGACATCAATCTCTCCAAAGTCTTCCGAATCCTTGAGGACAACTCCAAACTCGAACTCCATGACACGTGGTGCAAACATGTTCCATGTTTTTTTTTGCCTCGGAACACCTGACCCAAACACTGCCCGCAAAGAACACATAGAATCACGCGTTTGCACCTATGTACCAAGCTCCTAAAACACAAACAAACTACATTTTCTGCTAGGAACAAGGGCATTACTATACTAGTAGCTAAGAAGCTACTAGGGGCTCCTGGCCATACTACTAGTAACAACAAGAAGCTACTAGTAGCAAAGGGCATCGCTACTAGTAGCAAGGAAGCTACTAGTAACAAGGGCATTACTGTACTAGTAGCAAAACACTTAATTACTATTTCTTGTTTCTACGTTCGCTTCTTGTTACTACTAGTAAGGCCCTTGTTCCTAGTAGCGATGCCCTTGCTAGTAGCTAAGGGCATAAATGGCAAGTTCTGTCCTGAAGTTCCGCTGGTCGAAGCTGCAACGCGTGGAGAGCGCACGAGGCGCCCCGCTGTGCGCATTCGTCATCGCGGCCCAGATCGCCCAGGGGGTCCTGTCAGCGTCTACGAAAGGAAGCAAGGGATAAGAATAGAATAGACATATCGGTCCAAAGAGAAAAACAAAATAAGGACGGAACAAACACACCTAGAGAAAGTATGTACAGTCTGATTGTTGCCTGGCAGCCTGGAACAGCACCTGTGTTGCACTACGATGGAATCCCGCCCTACTTAGCCCATTGATGTCAATCAAGCCTTTGGAGATACCATGCGGATGAAGGGGCGGTATATTGTTTCGGAATTTGAGCGACCTTCAAAATAAAAGTTCCAAAATTTCATCGTGTTTGGCTTTCCGGCTTCGTTTTCCAAGGAATTGCACCAGTTAGGCTACTATGCTCTGTTTGTTGACCAGGTGCGTTTTCTGCAGTACCACTGGACCTTTACAATGGGAAGTACAGCAAAGGAACTTCTTACAGTATGGTGCATTTGGGCCAGGGTCTACAAACGACACTTGTTTGTGGATTTTGGAATCGTTTGGGGCTTCATTTTGAGACACCACATTTCATACACTCCAACCCTCAAGAAAAAGATCATCGAAAACAACCGCTCTGCAGGAGAAACAACAAAGCTGCGATCCAAGGGCTTCCCAGCTTCAACTTTCTAGCTTCAACTTTGGAAAGTCAAAGGCAACTAGACACGGACGAGCCTCAGCGTGCCTTTTACAATGTGAAGTACAGCAAAGTGACTGATCCCAGTACTTCTCAAAGAAAGGATACACATGCAAGCATCCCACCAAGAGGCTTCGTTTTTGGTTTTCTGGCTTCATTTTCCAAGGAATGTGCAAGATCTCACCAAAAATGAATAAGAATGATTCATTTTATGTAAAACCTTAACGATATGTTTTTTGGGTGGCTCATTTGACGCTGCACGTGCTGTGGCCGGCATCCCACGAATCATAATAAAAAAAGGCACGTCTAAAACCTAATAGCGATGGCCTCCAACCTAAAAAGGCGAACGGAAAAAGAAGGAAACACTGTTCTGCATTGGCCGCGTTTCTGCTGACGCAGTGTGGATAAAATGGGGGTGGCGCGAAGCGGAAAGTCTAGGCTCTCTTGGTCGACTCGTTGGTGTTTTCGTCTCACAAAAATGCAGGGCCTCCTTGATAAGAGGCCTTCTAAAGAAGTCTTTTCCTTTTTCCTTTTCCTTTCTTCCCGCAATCTTTTCCCGGTTGAAAGCTGGCGTTACTTCTCATGACTAGGTGGCTGATGTCTTTTCGGTGCCTATGTCATCGGAGGCGTGGGGCCCGACGAGAGTTGGACCCACTATGTCACTAGAAGCTGGAAACACGTTGAGTTTCTACTAGCTTCTTGTTACTACTAGTAAGGCGCTTGTTACTAGAAGCGATGCACTTGTTCCTAGTAGCTTATTGTTTCTATTTATATATTGTTTCTACTAGCTTCTTGTTCCTAGTAGTAAGGCACTTGCTCCTAGAAGCGATGCCCTTTGTTACCAGTAGCGTCCTAGTTGGATAGCCTGTTTGGCAAATTACTAGGTTCTTTGTTGCGTCAAGTTGCTGCGGAATCCTCTGAGCCTGTCTTCTGGATGATGGCTTGGACCCAGCGCTCCCTTGCTCGCCTAGGCCCGCTGGCTTTTTCCGCTTTGGACAATTTGGAGATGCAAGGGCCGATGCACCTGCGACTCTTGGGTTTAGACCGGTGTTCTTTCTTTTCGAGGCCGCTAGGATGGTCTGGAAGCAGGTTTGCTTCGCGTTTCCATTGTCCGCCGATCTGCACCGCTTCTTGGTCGGGGCAGAATCATGCAGTTTCGGGGCGCTGAGCTTCGGACGCCGTTTCTTCGGCGACTGCTTCGGGTATGCTCGTGACTTGGGGCTTGCCCGAACTTGTGGAATGATCCGTGAAGTTGCTAAGGTTTGCGAAACAAGGAGTAACAAGAAGCTATTAGAAACAAGTGCATCGCTACTAGTAACAAG